CCCGTGGCCGTAATTGGTGTTGGCAGGGGTGCGATGGAGATCTGCACTGAGGGACCACGCACAGCACCCAGGGCAGAGGTTGTTCTGCGCTCAGAAAAGCATCTCCTCCCCTGGGCCTTCTCTGGCAGCCCGCGGCCCCCTCCTGCTCTCTCCTGCCCGGCAGCGTGGTGCCCTTGGGAGCCGGATGGCAGCTGCCACAGCTGGGGGCATTTCAAGCACATAACGCAGTGTGCCGAGGTGGTTTTGGCACATGTCAGTAGCACTGCCCCGGCAAAGGGAGCAGCAAACGCTGGCATCGTGTTTCTGTCTTTCCCCAACGGTCCCCCTCCATCACTGGGGGAGCGAGTGTGCCCTGAGCCCGCGGCTGAGCTCCGGCCCCAGCAGCATCGCTGCAGACTCCGCGCTTTAGTGGTGGGAGCCTCAGGAAAGCACGGGTCCTGTGGACATCCCATGGGAACAGCAGCCGCGCTTCTGGGCTACAGCCCAGAATGGCTGGTAGGGGAACCGGGGCTGGGGGCGGAGGGGAGGGTGGCAGCTCCCGGGCACCCAACACTCCCAGTTGTGCCCATGGTGGTGTGTGGGGAGCAGGCTGGGCAGCCTGGCCTTTGTTCGAGTGCCCTGTCACCGAAAAAACAGTAGTTGCAGAAGAGATGGAAGAAACTGCAAAGCATCGGGGGGAGGGAAAAGCAGAGCCCACGAGCACAGAGGTGCTGTAGCTCTGGCAGCTGGGGGGGGCTCAGCGGTCTCGGTTCTGTTTCCTTCGTGCAGGTGGCCACACCGCAAGAGCTGCTGGCCTGGCTTGTCGCCACAGCCGGCAGCGAGCCTGCCTGCGTGGCCACAGGGTGCTGGGGGAGGTGGCAGCGGGGAGCAGTCACCCTTCTCTGGCTGTCTCACCGTGTCCTCCGGACAAAGCAAGAGCTGGGAAACTAGCTCTGACCCCACTTAAAGATTAAGCAAGATGAAGGGCAAATAAAAGAATTGGGCTTGGAGCTGAGGTGCATTGGGAGGGAGCTGGTGTGTGCTCCTGGCAGGAGGTGCAGCCAGAGAACAGGCGACCTGGCACCCATCAGGGCTGCTCTCGATGTTGCTGGAGCTGGAGGAATTTCAGTGACTCAAGGCCATGACGTGTCTCCCGGCCCTACCGTGCCATGGCTGGTCTGTCACCGCCATCAGGTTCTGCTCGGCAGACGGGCACGTGCTCACACGTAGGGCACCATCTTGGCACACGCTGTTGGTCACTCTCCGCTCTTTCGTCGGGCCGGGTCCCCACGCCGGGCTCTCTGCCCAGCTCGGGCTCCAGGAGCTGGTACAGAGGCAGCGAGGGGGCTGCCAGGGTGGGGACGTCATGCCAGGCGCAAGGGATGTCCTTGGGCCACCCCGCACGAGTGACCAGAGCAGCAGCTCACTTGATCTGCTTCTGCATCACGGCCGGTGGTGAGCCCGGGCGCTGCTCTGACTCCCTGGCACCGGGGACGGCCACGCCAGCTCTGCCTCCGCCTGCAGCCGTTTGGGTCCCCGTGCTGTTTGCTGATCCCTGTTTGCTGACGGGGTGAGGCTGGCGTGTGTGCCAGCCTGCAGCGGCTGAGCTGGCCCTCGCTGGATGGACGCCGTACGCGGAAGCAGCAGCTCCTCTTCCCAGCCTGAAATTGCAATTTGACGTCAGGGCAGCTGAAATCTGTAGCTTTGAAGGCCTGCGTGAGCATTAATTGCATTTCTGGCATGAAAAGTCACCCAACTCGTTTGTTTTCTGGAAGGAGCCAGTAGCTGGGCTGTTTGTGTCACCTTTAGAAAGGCACCCCGGAGTCGTGGCTGGGGACAGGCCCCC